AGTAATTTAGTATAAAAAACAAACCGAAGATTGTTTGCGGGCGGGAATTGGTTTGAATTTTTGAATTCCATGTTCGCTATCGCTGGACGAGCTGTGAGACTGAGAGTGCGAGTGAACAGACCTATGCGTTGGTGGGCTTATGGAATGGGAATGACTGCCCTTTTTGTTGTTTTCGCCGCGCCTTTGGTGTCGGCGCTCGTCATCGCTCGACGAGGAAGAAGACGACGACGAAGAATGAGATCTTTTCTTAATTTTCTTTGTTTTGTCGGTCTTTTTATTGGAATAAAAACTTTTCTTAGCCTTCGAGTGATGATGACTACAGGACTCTTCCATAGTTCGGATACAACTCTTATAGAGTGTTATCCTATCGGCTTCGGAAGGTATGGCCAAAAAGGCCTCTTCGTTAGCAATGAGAGGTCTAACTGAATCCCAGTGGGAGTCCTCATCGATGGGTGGATCGAGTTTAGCCAAAACTGCTAAGAAAGCGGTGTCTAATTTGCGCTTAAGTTTCTGCTCTTCTTTGATTCGTTCCCTTTCCCTCTCTTTTTCCCTTTCGATGAGCTTTTCGTAAATGATTTTAACGTTTCCGCCGTCGAGTGTAGCACTTCTCGTGTCTTCGCTTAGTATAGTTGCGAAGTCTATATAAGTGGTGGCAATCGTCACTTCAAAGTCCTTACTCTTCAGTATATCTTTAATCATTTGTTTCTCGTCTTCATATCTGGCTTTGAGTTCTTCGACATAAAACTTAAATAAGTCGAGAGGAGTGGAACCGGCGAAGGGCTGCGACAACATTGCGCTGAATCGGGGATCAGCACTGATCTCATGGTATAGATTAACCCATTTAGACATTGACGTCAACTTTCCGCTGGCGTGCAGTTCATCTAAGAAACCGATAAATGATTCCCTATTCTTCCTCTGGAGTCGAATCTGTCGCTTCTTTTCGCGCTTTTTCTCCTCTTCTTCTTCGGTCTCCATTTGTCGGATGTGTTCTTCAAAGACAATGAGTGCGTCCTCTTTATCCATACCTAACAGTTCTGCGTCCTCTGCGAACACAGGGTTGTCGAGCAGTAGTTGTTGTGCCTCTTGCCAAGTGGTCCGGTGTGTGATTTGTGTCATTGAGTCCAATATATCACTCAATACTCTCATATTTCGTTTCCGCAATTGTTTTGCTTCTGTTTTCTCTTTTTTAGCCAAAAAGACAATCGCGTCGTCAAAGATTTCCCGGCGATCGATATCGGGAACCCCTTTCCATATGTCGACGTCTCTGAGCGACTCAATAGCGGTCCTATATTTTGTCAAAGAAGTGATTTTATCGGTTGTGTGCAAAAACTTTTCCAGATTTTCTTTGGCCCGTT